ATATGTATAGATATACCTCCAAAGTGTATTTTAAATGCAGTTACTCCATACTTCCAAAGTCTATGTTAACTTGCCAGTTACTCCATATCCCAGCATTGAATAGAGATTCATTTGTAATCACTACTAATTTCTCCAACAGGGTGGACTAAGTGCCCAAGCTTTTGTTCGTGTGGAACTCGAGGACGTGAATGATAATCAACCTGTGTTTAACCCATCAACCTATGTGACAAGCATCAGTGGCCAAACCCAGCCTGGCACTGAGATCATCAATGTTCTTGCCACCGACAGGGATTCTGGGGTGTATGGAACAGTGGCTTATGAACTCATTCCTGGAGAACTGTCATCCCTTTTTATCATTGACTCCACAACAGGTATGTCACCTTGAAACAATTTGTCTCTGAAATTAACAGGACCTGCATAACAGTCTCAAAATGAGAGAAACTAACCTTTTCAGGAGCTGAAACATTGCAGTTCTCAATGCAGTTCCCTGAAGGCAATAAGGTTTCTTGGAAAGCTGCGGCTTTAGATAGGTAGATCTGAGAACTGAATCCCAGATTTTTCTTATGCTGGTCTTGTGAGCTTTATTTGCCTCAGTCTCCTTACCTTTAAAGTTGTTGCTGTTGTTGAAAAGTGCCATTGAGTTGGTCCGACTCATAACAATCCTGTATAGGGTTTCCAAGGAGCAGCTGGTGGGTTGATCCAATGAGTTGTGGTTCACAGTTCAGTGCTGGTCCTATAGTGTCACCGTATTAATACTTCCACTGCACCATTTTCCTAAGGATAAAGCACAGTAAACTAGAAACACACGTCTCCAAAAGTATTTTGCAAATGTTTATTTTTCTCCTTTTGTACAATCACGCTGTCTGAGATTGATTTAAATTATTTCATTGTAATAATGGATGCCTTTTCTTGTAGGTCTAGCATTCCCATAGACTCACTCGACCTTGTATTTGTTGATTGCCTTTTAGTCTGTTCCGACTCATAGCTGGTTTCATGCAAAGGAAGTTTCCAAGGAGCAGCTAGTGATTTGAACTGCCAACTTAAAGTACCACATCAGGATTCCCTCTGGACCTTAGTGCCCTGTTCCTTTTAAAGATCTCTAGTAGTGTAGTGATTGTGAATCGGACTGCTAACCTCTAGATCAACAGTTTGAAACTACCAGCTGTTCCGATAATGATGAGGCTTTTTGCTTCGGTAATGATTTACAGCCTTGGAAAACCCTGTACAGGGTTGCTGTGAGTTGGAACTGACTCCACAGCATATAACCACCACCACCTTCATTATGGCAATTGCATAGCTACCAGTGAAGCCTGTGGACAAACTGAGATCTTTAAAGAATGCTGTTGTTGTTTTGGCTAAGTGCCATCAAGTCAGTTCTTACTCATAGCCACCTTTCTATAAGGCTTCCGAAGGGGGGTTTGAACTGCCAACCTTGTGTCTCAAACTGACCTTGTGGCCCAGCGTATTATCCTGAAGTGCCACACCAGGTCTCCCTTTTAAGAACAGTCAATATTTTAAGAGGTTCACTTCTCCTTCTTGTTGGTTTATTGCTTATAAAATAATGTATGAAATAATCAGTTACAAAAAATATAATAAAAGTATATAATACTACATTACAATTTTTTGAGCTATTGAAGGACTTTTTTTATGAAAATGAGACTGCAAAAAAAGTTTTTAAAAATTCATACAATTTTTTGTTGTGCATTTCTTCTTAAAATGCCTGATCTGGGCAATGGGAGAATGGCTTTCTATTGTGATGATAAAGGCATTGCATTTATCTTTGGCCTGGCACTATTCTAAGCCTTTTACTGTGCATTGTCTGACATGGAACTGCAGGAGTCCTAGTGTGGCACTGCAGGATAAGCACTGGACTGCTAATCTTGAGTTTAAACTCACCAGCTACTCGTGGGAAACCCTGGACAGGGTCAAAGGCATTTGACAGCAACAACACTGTCTTAGTGAATTTTTACACCATTGTTTGCAACAATCACACTTGTCTTAGTTAGCTAATGGTGCTATAACAAAAATATGATGAGTACTGATAGCTTTAGAAAAAGGAATCCATTCTCTCTTAGTTGCAAGGGGCACCAATTCTAGGGGAAGGTTTTTTCTATGTGTTGCTTCTGGGCTCCTTTCAGCAACTGTAGGCTTAGCTTTTTGTTTTTTCTTGTGTCTCCACACACCATGGCATCAATCTTTCCTTGCATGTAGAAGTTTCACAGTGGAGGGACCCCACGTCCACAGGACACATTCTACTCATACCTCTTCTTTCTGCTCACTTCTGATTCCTTTTATCTTTAGTAAGATCAAAAGTTTTGCAGTCTCAGGGAAATTTGCCTTAACAGGATTTGTTGTTGGTAAGTGCCATCAAGTCAGTTCTAACTCACAGAGATATTTTATAGGGTTTTGGAATTTTTAAATCTTTGTGGGAGCAGAAAGCCTCCTCTTTCTCCCACTGAGCAGCTGGTTGGTTTCATTTCCAGGACTTTAGTTTCTCTGACCTCTCATCTTCTCATCTCTGCATTTGAGTCATACTCATGCTAATAATTTTTCATTAGGGCACCAATCTTATGGGTAATAGCCTTTCTTTTGTGTGTCCCTCTGCTATTTTGCTAATTCTTACCTCAGGAGAGAGGCTCCGTTCTAGGTTTAAAGAGTGTCTTGGAGTGACAGTCTTAAGGAGCCTTATATACTCAATTATTCTGATTGTTATTTTTTAAAAATAATAATTTGATTTCTGCTCCATATTTTTCTTCCACTTTGTCTAGGACCAACTATTATAATGCTAGTCAAGAGACTATGTCTCCTGCAGACTTGTTTCTTCTCTGAGGTTTGGTTACCTTCTTACTGTTTGACTCCTGGTGAGTTCAGACCCGTAATTGTGCCTTAGATGGTCACTCCCAAGCTTTTAAGACCCCAGATACAACTAATTTTACTAAATTGCAAATCATGACTTTTATGAATTATGTTATGTTAATTGACTGAGTTGTCCTATGAAACGATTAGTCTGAAGCCTTTAAACACAGATAATCAATGTTGGAAGGTATTTGATCATGAATATTTGTGCCTTCACCAACATATTTGTATTTACACTTGGAGGGTCAGTGAAAAAATGGAATTGCCACAATATGTATTGACTCAGTAACATCAATAGTGAAATCAAATATAACAATTGTGAGTAGGGTGCCAGAGTGAACATTATTTTGTTCTGTCGTGCATAGGATCTTTATGAGTCAGAACTTAGAGACCAAGATGGTCAGACTTTGTCTATCATACGTTAGGTATGTTATCAGGAGGGACCAGTTCCTGGAGAAGGACATCTTACTTGGTAAAGTGGCTGGTCAGTGAAAATAAGGAAGACACCCAACTAGTGGTACCAACAATGGGCTCAAACAAACATAACAATTGTGAGGAATGCCCAGGACCAGGTAGAGTTTTGTTCTTTTGTGCATAGGGCCGCCATGAATGGGGACTGACTTGATGGCACCTAACAACAACACCAACAACAAAGAAGATGAGTTAATATGACCATTATTCAAATTTATGCACCAAACACTACAGCCAATGATGATGAGATTGAAGAATTCTACCAATTTCTTTAGTCTGAAATTGATCAAACATGAGTACTGGGCTGCAAGGTTTGTTTGAACCACAAGTTTGGCTATTCAAACACACCAGCCACTCCTAGGAAACCCTGTGCAGAGTTGCTATAAATCAGAACTGACTTGATGGCACTCAACAACAACAACACAATAAAGATGCATTGGTGATTGGAAAGAGAAAATTGGAAACAAAGAGGAAGGATCAATAGTTGGAAAACATGGCTTTGCTTACAGAAATGATACTGGAGATCTCATGTTAGAATTTTGCAATACCAGGCTTATTCATTGCCAGTACCTTTTTTTCAACAACGTAAAAGACATGTGTACACATGGACCTCACCAGATGAAATACAGAGGAATCAGATTGGCTACATCTGTAGAAAGAGCTAATGGAGAAGATTAATATTAGCAGCCAAAATAAGGCCAAGGGCAAACAGTGGGACAGACTATCCATTGCTCATAGGAAAGCTCAGGGTGAAACTGAAGAAAATGAAAAGAAATTCACAAGAGCTAAAATATGACTTTAAATATATGCTACCTGAATTGAAGGACCATCTCAAGAACAGATTTTCTGTAATAGTCACTGATGACCAAGGACAAGAAGAGTTCTGGGATGACATCAAGAACATCGTATATGAAGGAAGCTAAAGGTCTTTAATACTGCAAGAGGGTTTTTTAAACTTCCCACTTTATTTTTTTACCCATGTATCAGATATCATTACTTAATGCAGTTGCAACTATGCACTTGTATGAAGCCATAGTGTTGGTTTGTATCATTCATTCATGCGGATCTGACAGAAGCTGCACGTTAATGTTTAAGCAGTTAATGTAACAAAAGGTTTAAAGTTATTTCAGTTTCCTAATGCTTCATAATAGGCAACTTTACCCATTTTGAATGCCTTAATTTAAAAATCTTTATCAGTCTTAGCCCTTTAGCTGTACTTTAAAACAAACAAACAAACAAAAAAACCTCGTGTTTGTTTACCGCTGTTAGAATGCAAATTTGCTTTGTGGAAGAAAGTGCACTATTTTTACACATAATAGTTAGATCAGTGTCAATCTATTTTGATTGCATAACAATATCTTTTTTTAAATATTGGTCATAGAAACAATAATGGATAGTATTCAAACTAATATATCTTTGATGTCTATCTATTATTCATCCAATCCCCCTTTTACAGACCTCTGTATTAGTCTGTGATTTAATAAGTT